ACTATTTATACACCTACATGACAGTAACTCTGTAATAAAAACTTTAATAACAGACTAACTACCACATTAACTGTCTTGTCCTTCTCTGTTGTCTCACTCATTTGCACCTCTTTTTCAGAAGCTCCTTTGTGGTGATGAACTTGCCATGTAAAGTACACCTGTTCTAATTTTCATAAAAGGACACAGTGGATAGATGGGTAGTAGAAATACAAACCTCACTGGCCTCACTAGTGTGTTTAACAGCTTCAGAATAAATTACATTCACCTTAGCCTGTCTTTCCTGATTATTTCTCTCCACCATCACAATGAATAACATGGACTGTAAGAATGTTTCAAAAGTGCTGCCCTCAAAAAAGGATATGAAATTTTAATTTTAAGCTATATCCTTGTAAAACATGAACTTCTGTCTGGGTGATGCACCCGGTCACACTGATCGGTGTTATATCTGAGTGAAGGCATTTAAATTAAGTTTTTACTCTCAGGTTCAGTAATAGATCTGTTTTTGAACTGCCCATCTAGATAAATGAATTATTTCCATCTAAAGTAGAAAATAAGCAAACAAGTAGACTTTTTTTGTCTTGATCTATAATAAATACTGATCAGAGCAGAATTACAAGTTACTATACCTAGAAAAAAAAAAACAGCCAAGGGACTTTTCTTGAGTTTAAAGCAGAGGTGTTTTTGCTCAACTTTGGTTTAAAAAGCAATATTTTAAATATTTGGCAAAAGCCAATTTTCAGAACAATTAATATACAGGGTGGAGTTTGTTTAAAAGTTAAAGTTTCTTTGTCCGGCATATTCTCTGGTCATTTTTGATGTGCTGATAAGGTTTTGAAAGAGATGGACTGCTTGTGATGCTAAACCATATTGAACTTATCCTAACCCTAGCTTAATAATAATAACAATTATTATTATTGAACTTTATTGATCTCACATTGGAAAAAAATTACCTCTGTATTTAACCCATCCCCTTGGGAAGCAGTGGGATAACAAAATTGAGACATATTTACTGTAAAAGAAAGAAGAAAAAAAAAAACGTGGTCAAAAGAGTAAATTCAAATGCAATTTTTCGGAGTAAAATGTTCTTCATTTTGAATACATTTTACTCGCATTAGATTAAGCTAATTATGTTTTTTTACATGCCTGCCTTTGATACAATGTCAAACATAACGCCACTTTGAATCATTTTTAATCCCTACCTCTTTATCCTTATTTTTTGTCTGTGAGTTCATCCTTTTTGGCTTCCTCATTTTTTTGTTCCTTGTCCTTTGATCAAATGACATAATGATTCAATTCAAAGCCATAATGCTCCAGCCTGTTTTTGAGAGGGGGTTGCATTGCTTTGTTTCTTGGTTCCTGGACCCCAAAAGGGGAATTGCTGTTTTAGGGTCAGGGTTCACATTTAGGACTAAGGTGTGAAATGAGTTGCATACGAACTTGTAATGGTTAAGTTTAGGGTAAGGATCAATGTTAAGGTGTAGAATGGAAAGGCCAAGCAAGAATAGAGATGTATTATGGGTGTGTGTGTCTCAGCAGGTGAAGTAAACCCTCAGTGATGTGCATTTTCTATTGATAATCTCATAAAATACAGACTAGAAATAAGTATCCCTCTTTTGCTTTAGCTTTCCTCCAATGCCCCTATGCACAGCATATAGTGCATACCCACTCTTTGCTCTACTGCTCCCTATGTATCACAAAAATAAGCACAAACATCACTATGCAGCACAAAAATCAACCTGCCCTCAAAGGCCTGTCCTATCAATTGCCTTCTGAGGACAATTCTGGCACTGCCTTATCTCTACATCTAAACACTAAAGACCACTTCTTAGTCTACTGATTTCACCCTCCTTAAATGTTCTTTTCTTCTTGCAGGTAAAGGTATCTCAAGCTATGCAGCTCAACCAGAGAAGGCAGGAATGTCCCTGACAGAGTGCATGCAAGAGGCTGAGATGGTGGTTCCAGCAAAGAGACACAGCGAGACCCCTCTCTATCTGGGGGCAACAGCTGGAATGAGACTACTTAAGTATGCTCAACATGTAACCACACATCTTTAATGCAAAATAAAACATTCTTTAAAACAACTCAAATAAATCAATCCAAGTCACAACCCTCCCTAGGCCCAAAGCTCATTCTGTAGTCATTGTTAACTATCAGTCAACCAATGTTTGCAAATGGGGCTGAAAATCCAGGCTAACCATCACCTTCGATGTTGGCAAGTATACAGCTCTAATTGGTCACAGCAGTGATGTCAAGGAGGAACATCATTGTAATCTCTGTGAGCTTTTTCTATCTACAGTATAGCAGAGAGGGGATGTAACCAAGAGAGAAATGTTATCGTGTACCAGTCTACTTCCATGCAGCCACACAAAATCATGTTTGAAGGTCCAAATCGGATTTTCAAGTAATCTCAGAGGTCCTTAATGGCTATTGACTATTGGAATTAAGGTAATTCAATATTAATACTTTTGCTTTTGTGGAGGAAAATACCTCTCATATTAAGCAGACACCATGTACCAGAAATCTCCTCCTCTTTTGTCATCTTCAAAACGAGCTGTTTTGGTTTTCCAGGCCCTGTAATTTTGAAGGCTGCAGCCCCACCACCCATAACCAATGCAACCAGTCAGACTTCGTAAAGATAGCCTAGGAGTGTGGAATAATACATTAGATGAAGCCCGGAGCTTGACCAATGGGCTGCCACAAACTGCTCTGGACAACTTATTTCCCCTTATGACATCATACAGGGCATGATTTTCAAACAGACCAGTCTGAGCAAACATTAGCTAAGATTACGAGAAAGGCAGTGAAAGAGGGGAATGTTTATTTTTCACAGGCTTCAAGAAAAATATACATTTTGCATAATATGGCACATTTAAAGCTCTAAAAGATATACCTGATAGATATCTACAAGTGTTTTGTAATAAAAAGTAGCATGTGTCTCAAGGACAGACAAACAAAGAAATAAATCTTTTAACCAAATCTTTAGTTTCTGCACCCAGTGAAATTAGCCAGAATGAACTTCTTCATAGAATATGCAAGGTTTGTCTACATCTTGTGCAGAGAGGGAGACTCATTGTTTCTCATAAGATTAAACTCTTTAGAAGTATTTTGCACTAAAGGAAAATCCAGCTATCCACCTTTTTTAGCTACAAACATTGTGATTAATCTTATTTAAATGGAAATAAATATCTTACTGTCAATGCAGTTTTAAATAATACAGTTCATTCATTATTTATAGGTAGCTGTACTGTTGTGAATTATTCATGTAACTATCAAACTGCTGCTGTGTGTGTTTATTTGTGCAGTATTGAGAACAGATCTGCATCAGACCAGGTGTTTCAGGCAGTTGAGAAGGCCCTGCAAAGCTTCCCCTTTTCCTATCAGGGGGCCAGAATCCTGAGCGGGCAGGAGGAGGGGGCCTTTGGCTGGGTCACAGTCAACTACCTGGATGATCGTCTCAAACAGGTCTAACAGACTGGCGTTACAGATATTTAAAAGAAAATCTTTTAACTTTAAAAGATTTTTTTTTTTACATGTGCAAGGGTGTTACCACTAGGCAATGACATCATTTCTTTTTTATTTTTGCTTTAGGGTCTTGAAACAACAGGGGCTCTTGACCTTGGTGGGGCCTCAACTCAAATTAGCTTTGTTTCTCATGATTATGATATTTCGGAGTCACCTAGCAACTCTATGACCTTCCGCCTGTACGGAAACGACTACAACCTGTACACACACAGCTTCCTGTGTTACGGGAAGGACCAAGTACTAAGAATGGCACTGGCCAAACAGACTCAAGTAAACTTTCACAGTTTTTAAATGCTCAAAATCTATTCTGAGATTATCAGTACATTCACTGAGATTGGTTTGACAAAATACCTAAAAGGAATCTCTTTTTCTCATTATGAATCTCTTTCCTAGTTAGGTCCAAGTACTATACTTGATCCGTGCTTCCACCCAGGCTACACGACGACAAGGAATTACTCAAGTCTGTATGACAGCCCCTGTGTTTCAGGCAGGAGACCAAGAGAGGCTCCGACTAACTTCTCTCACAAAGGGGAAGGAAACTTCACAAAATGCCAGGAAGTTGTCAAAAGTCTGTTTAACACCACGGCCTGCAAATACAGCAAATGCTCTTTTAATGGAGTCTTCCAGCCACCTCTGCAAGGACCGTTTGGGGTAAAATGATTCAGCTGTTTGTGTTTTTGCAGCAGTATACCTCATGTGAAGTGTTTTCTAACTACATGTCTGAAACCTTTCTAAATTTTAAAAAGATAAAAATCACACTTCTTCATTTTTTAAATCCAAACTCACCACACTCTCAAAATAAACTCATTTAGTATTTCCTTATCTAGCAAAGAGATTACTTTATTCTAAAATCTGTGAAAAACATATTTAAAAGTGACTTAAGCTTACTAAGTCAAATCAGTCGTTGAAAATATGTCTTGCAGAAATAATCTTTAACTGGCCATGTGCCACTTGGTACCCACCTACTTTTGCCATTGACTAATGGTATGACTCATTTCATGCAATGCATCTACTGTATGATCTACCATAAGCGCATTTTGTCTCCTTCGTGTAATTAATAACCTCAAGACAGGAAGTAATTTTTGTTTGTTTAGAGGTTTTAATCTGTCATGTTTCAAAAGCCATCAGACCAATTCATGACTAAAATAAATACATTTAAATAGTGTACTACAAGAGTGTAACTTTGTGATTAAAGTTGGTGGGGACACTCTAAGGGTGGTGGCTGATGGATCTGCAGTTACTCGACTTAAACGCTTAAAATAGGGTTTTGCATTTTCTAAAAATTTGCTTGAACATATATTTATTGAATGCTCTCCTATTCTTGAGAACACAAGATAGCTAAAAGACACTGATATTTATATTTATCGGTAGTGAGACATTAATGCATAAAAAAGGATGAATAACAGCTAATACTGATGCCAACACCAATATATCAGGTCTCCCTAGTATGTATGCAATTTCAATTTCATCAATCCATCCATCCAGCCAGGAAAGGATGGATGGATGGATGGATGGATGGATGGATGGATGGATGGATG